CCCCAAAACCCCAAAACCCCAAAACCCCAAAAGACTGCAATTTGATTTAAATCAAATTTAATTTAAATTATCTAAAGAATTAATCTATGGAAAAGATATTAAATCATAAATCAGAGCAGTGCAAACATGAATGTTCTTGCGTTGTTTCAATCGTTAAAAAGTTTATTCAGAATTTTTCCCTAGGATTTATAGTTAAATTTTTGCTTAGATTACTCTCAGAGCGAAATCTATAAAATATAATGTAATTTAGAATAGTTAGTAATATATTTTGTTAGAAAAACATGGCCTGGAGTTGCAAGATTTGCATTAGTAATTGGTCTGTGCTCAGCGATACATAAAACAACAATGTGCTCAATGAATGGATTAAATATCTAATTAAGATCATAATATAAACAATTTATAGCAGGGGCTTTGAGTTCACTAAGCCTTAGTCTAGCTAATGAAAAAGAAATTTCTATTTTGACAATGATTATATATCCACGCGCCACTGAAGTTATATATAAAATGATGGTATAAAAAGGTTATCTAAGAGAATTCAAACATTCAGATATTTTAGCCTTTATGTTTTGTTGTTCTTTTATTGTTTACTGCTACATCTTTGAACCTAGTAACTTGCCCTCAAATTATATTAAAGCAATCAATAATTTCTCTCTTTTAACCAAAGGAGAGGGAACTATGTTTGCAACAGTAACTGAGTAAGTTACTCGTTAAATTGAGCAAACCTACGGAGTACCAAGATGAATAAATTAATGAAAACTTTATTTATTAATGCCTATTAGTTGATAATGCTATGAACAAAGAAATATTGATTAAATTAATGTTTTAATTAGAAGCTAAGATATTTATGAAATTAAGATTAATACTCATAATACACTTAATAACATATTGATTGATTAAAAGAGAGTTTCCTCATTGATTTCTTATAGTCTTTATAATTTAGTAGTTCAAACAAAGGTTATCTCGGGCACAAAAATTTCTGAATTCAAAAAGTTTAAACCTAATTGTTCGTCTTTTAAGAAATTTATAGGATATATCACTGCATGTCCAAATATTTCATCTTTCAATTTATCATACTGGGTTTTGAAACCTTCAACATCCGCTTGCTCCTAATTTCTTAGCTCTCTTATTGTTTGAAGTTCTACGAATGATGAAATCGAGTTATCTGGCTCACATCTGAAAATCTCAAAAAACACCTTAGAGTTGTTTTAAGCAACATCAAACAATCTTTGCTTATTTTTGATTGGATCTTAAATAATATCATAAGTAAAGCCGAAATGTTCCATCATTAATTCAGTTCTGAATTAATGAGCCATCTTACCTACTCTTACTTTCTTGCCCCCTAGAGTAATTTTGATTTGATCTTCTCTATCGTTTTAACTAATGACCACTCCAACTTCATGGTCTCTTGAACCAAGCATCGATCTATCATTGATGTTTGCGGATCCAATGATGATATGAGTATCATCTACAATCATGCATTTTGAATGAATATATATCATCTCAGTTACAGGCATTTTATTAGTTGGAAGTACTGAATGAGTTCTTAAACTAAAAAATCTGATATATTCCCAAGGATCTTCGACTCCATCTTGCTTAAGTAGTTCTATAAGAGAAGTTTTCCCCCTTGCCATAGTACTTAGCTAATAGTTTATTTGAATTCTCAAAATCGATGAGCTTGAGTCTAAAATATCTCCAGCAAATGCAGGCATTAATGGCACGAATATTACTACCAGGAATTCTTACTACAATCTATGTGCTCTCAAAATTCTTTCTCTTAGAGCCAACCCGACCTTATTCTTTATAATATTAGTTCTATCACTATCGTTGAATACACACTAGCTGATGAAAAACTAATTTTCAATATAGATTAGGTGTTATGATTGCTCAATTAGCTAAATGTATGCTTCATATATAGAATGCTCGACTTTAAGAAGGCCAAGAGACCAAGGAGCAGAAGATCTCAAAGCCTATATATTGCAATTTTTATGAGTTACCTTATCGACTTAATCATCTAATATGTTTCCTTGAGAATGAAAAGTCTAAATCAAATTTCTTTAATGACCATTTATTTTTCCTTGAAAATCATTCTCTACAAAAGAGTCGTTTTTTTATCTTATTTTTGCTTTCGATTCCTACCTTTGAGGAGTATGCATGATAATTTAAACTTCTTGAGTGTTAATATAAGGACTTCTCTGTTCCTTGTAATTAGACTTCCTTTTCCTAATAGAACTCTTTTGATCAATATCGTCCTCAAGATTCAAATCATGATTCAAATCTTCCTGTTCAATCTAACTTATAGATTCAAAAACATCATCAGAAAACTAAGAATTACCAATGATCTGGATATTTTTAAAAGGTTATAAGTTCGACTTCTATATTATAATACCTTGCTCATGATCATCCATCTAGTTTTCAAATTTTGGCAAATCAAGTTCGAGTTTAGAGAGTATTCTTTCATCCATATTTTCATGATCCTCACCATCATCTATTAAAAATGGGCCAACTCCACTAAATATGCTTCTTGGATTATCTTCTCTATTAGCCTTTGTTTTGAAATTTCCTTTCATTTGAGTAAAATATCTTATGTTTTGGCTCTCACGATCAAATGATAAATTGCCTGCATCAATGACTTTGTTGCTTTTTGGAGTTGAAACAAAGCTTTACTAATTTTAAGGTTACTATGGTATACTTTTCTTCCTTTGCTTGAGCCGTTAAAAAATGTTTTAAATTCTGGATATGTATCTCGTATTTAAGTAAGATAAACTTTTAGGAACTTTAGATTGATGCATCTAATTAAACTGGTTAAAATTGAGATTTTTAGAGATAATTCCTTCTAATCCTTCATCGAATTTTGCATCTTCTTCAAAATATCTATTTTCATAATCAGCTTTTGATACACTCATATTTGATCTATCTCTTAACTTAGCTTCTTCGGCATTGTTTCTTTGGTTTCCAAATTAATTATTCTATTAAACTTAAGAAGATTTTTTCCTCATCTTATGGAGAACTTTATCAAAAATAGAAGTCTTTGTTGTGATGACTGATAACGTCTGATTTTATGACTCGCGCTAATTAAGTTTGGAGTTATTCCATAATTGAACAAAATGATGAGCTAAATCATTTGCAGAGTCCCCTTCAATACATACAGCTGTATCATGAAATGGCATTCTTGCTTATTTATCTCTGTCTAAGGAGCATTCAATATAATCATCAGGCTTTAATATTGGCACATTTCTTTCATTACAAAAGTCTTTTCCAGGATATAGGCATTAGTCATCTTCTCCTTTACCGACATCGTACAAAGGATGATTTCTAGTATCCCATCTTCCATAACATATATCAAGTCCACCAATGAATACAATTTGCTAGTCAATAATTACTAACTTTGCATGATGACTCCAAAGTTGAATAGCACCAGAGGAGTGACGAATCATTTTTATATTTGGATGAAGCCCCATTAAATATTATTTAGTAGTCAAACTGTTAAAGTTTACTGCAAATTTTGACTCTCTCCAATGTAAAATGTAAATCCTGACTCCTCTTTCAGCCTAAATTCATGTTAATATGATATAAATATACTGCTGAGAGTAAAAGCATGTCTAATCTGTACTCCTCATTATTCTATTGATTATTAAGTGACACTGGTCTGACTAGAAAATATTTTGGGCATAGCCACCAATCAGTAATAAATATTTCAGACTCAGCTTTCGATATCTCCTCTGCAACATTTCTGAAATACATCTCTCCATCAATCATTAGCCTTACTTTATTTCCTCTTCTTATTGGAGCAAATGAATCCTATACAAATCTTTCAAGTTTGTAGCTCCAAGGAGATAAATCGATTGCTCTTTCGATCTTTTATCTCCAGGAATAGAATTCTTTATGAACGAATTTTACCGACAATAATCGATTCGAGGTAGTAATATGAATTTTAGGTTTGTTAAGGCGATTTTTAATCTTCATTTCCCACTGATTATCTATCAATATAACTTCTCTTAACTGAAAATTATCATTGTTAGTTGATTAAAAGCTCTTGCTGAGTTTTTTCAGTTCACTAGTGTTTGTACTTCTTGGTTATATTGACAGATCTTTGTCAAATAATGAATTTAGTTCCTGAATATTCTTAGGGAATGGCTTTTCAACATAGCATAGAAATTGATTAGTCAAAATAAACCATTTCTTAGAGTATCTCATAGGTTGAAGACATGTTGACCAACTAAAATAGGTTTATCCTATAAAAATAAGAATTCTTACCATTTACTAGTGGTAGGTCTTCCTCCAGCTTGTTTTAACATGAATCCTTATTTTAGAATATTCTACCATCCCATGTGTTTATAAAAGCTAAACATACTGATCTAACAAAAATCACTAAGAAATATGAATTGAAATCAATACCTCAAAGAAATTGATAGTTATATCATCCATCCATAGAAATTCAAGTGAGAGAGCATTCAAAATGCTAATTGCGTGGGTAAGACCATTTTTCATATATTCGAGGTTTTTTTTTGCTCTATCATGTTAGTCTCTATGAATCTCAGTGATAAACTTGGTATTTTCTCTTTGAAAAAGTCCATACAAATATAATCTGCTAGTTTCTAACTGAATACTGTTATAGTCATTTGCTTTTTTTTAATGGTTAACTCTAAGTTTTTTCATGAGAAACCTGAGAAAATGCTTGATTTCTTTGAAATGTTTCGTTATCCTATCATGATATTAGTATTGTTTGAAAGATCTATCTTACACATAGGAAGTAGGAAGAACTTCCTCATTTAATTGAAAAGATTTTTCAAAAACAGATGAAGAGTATTTGAGGGTTATATCATAGAAGATTGCATTCTCATCACTTATAACCATATCTGCCAATTCATTAATTTTATACATGGGAATAATAATTTTAAATATTGATGGCATCCATATAATTTATTTAAAGTTCAAGTATTAATAGTTGAATTTCTCATATCTACTAGTTTTATACAATAGAGTCTTTAAGGGGTTTTGGGGTTTTGGGG